TACAACTTAATATATATCATGCATCCACCTTATAAATTATTTCTTTTTATATAATTATTAATATTTAATTTGATTATTTTTTTCTCAATTGTCTTTAATTGACTTAAATGACTAAATTATATTGTACCACACCTCCATTCTATCAATGTTGCTAGACCATTTATATTTATTATTAATTCATTGGCCTTGTTTTTAGATAATGCACACAATGATACTAAAATAATTAAACTATGTGATTATTTAAGTAATATATTAGTATAAAAATACTATTTGATTTATTACGTAATAAAATATTAATACTAATATATTTTTAAATAATTATTATTAGTGAAATAAAGACTTATATTCATACTATTATAGATAATCTACACAATAAAAAAATTGAAATTATCACTTAGTACATTAGTTGCTGTATAACATAATTATTATTGTTATTGGTGATTTGGTTTAGATTACAAACAATATAAGGACTTATTAATGATTTATACCAAATCATTTTGGTACTTACATGCCACCAAGATTCTATAAATATAATTTAAGTATATAACAAGATGGATGTTATTGTTACTATTGTATACAATCCATGATAATAAATATTTTTAGAAGAATTGTTAGAACGTCAAACACCTCCAAAAAAATCTTAATTTTGTCACTTGAGTTTTTAAATAAAGATTGATAATATTAAAATTCTTTTTGATATTTTCTAAGATTTTGATGGAAGAAAATATATATATATAAAAAAAATATATCTAAAAATATTTTATAAAAAAACTTGCAAAGATAGCAAAAATTATTTATATTATTATAAAATAAAAACTATTTAAAAAAAAATAAGTAGAAGAAAAATATTTGGACAACAAATCAATAGTTTCTTATAATTTTAAAACTTTCTAAATATTTAACTAGCACATCAAAGTTAAGATGTGTTCTATACTAAGTATTGTGAAATATCTTTATAATTGCATTTACAAAAATTTGCATGTGTAATTGTTTTTTTGCCAAATCTTGCACAAAATAAAGTAAAGTAGAAAAAACTATGAAAATTAAGAAATATTTGGATGCTTCCTATGCTTCATTATCAAAAGTGCATTGGAGAAATTTTAATTTAAAAGTGCATAGTAAAAGTCATAATATTCAAAAATTATAAATTTACCTTCTAAATTAATTTATAATATATTATTTTTTAAATAAGAATTAAAAATAATTAATAGATAGATGAAACCTAACAACACTTATTCAATGTTGGTAATTTTGGTAATATCAGTAAATATAAAAGATAGCATAGAATATATTTTTGAAAAAATACTAGATTGTCATATTTTTTTAAAATAATATTATTACTTCTGCTTATTTTTATTTTGTATTGAAGATTCTATTTCTTTTGAAGATCTAAGAGTTTATAATAATGTATTTTATATTTTATTTT